TTGAAAATACCAACAGCCACTACTGCTATCTATTCAATTGTGATCCTGCATGAATATTCAGGGATATATCTGCAGCCAAAACAAAATTAGGAGTCTTTCCTCTTTTTTTCCTCTTCAAAGCATTCTGTTGAAAAAGCTAATGCAGGCTGTTTCTTATTAATAAGGATTGCCTGTGAATGAACTGGTGAACTTTACAACCTGTGTTCTATTTTTAAAAGATTTGAGGGGGGAAAAAAATCACTAAATTGGTCAACTTTTCAGCTGCAGCAAGAGCACCACCTTGTGGTCAACATGTGCATTTAGCTTCACTTAACACTTCCATATCACTTGATGAACTGGAAATAGGAAGGCACATGAGACAGGATGTATATATGAATGAATGGGTTGGGGCAGAATGAGTGTGCTTGTCTATTGTGAGAAGTACAAAGCGGAAAAAAATATGTTTGTGTTGACGGAGGCTGGTGGAATTATGTGTGACTGCACGAGTGGATTAGCGCATGAAAAATGTGAGGAAACCATGCATAGGAACAGTATCCAAGAGCTAAAATAAGTGTCGAGGGTTATTTATTTGTACCCTGCTCTGTCATTTAAACTCATAACTCAAGCTGCCATCTAAAAACAGCCAAGCTTTGAAGCTGCCATCTCCCAATGTTCCTCAGGTCTGGTGCCTAGTAGGCATGTGCTAAAAACTTGGAAGTGTCGGAAATCGTAAGAAAATTGGAAGTTTTGTAAGTCAAAAGCCATATTTGAAGTGTTTGTGTGGTCCACACCAAATATTTTAGAACCTAAACTTACCCCATACTTTTTTGTTTTGTAAATCTCAGAAGGCTCCCAAAGTCAGTTTTATATTCAGTGCAAGGAAGCAAAGCCATTGAGCCAAAAATGCTGCCTGCCTGCCTGGAATTAATCGAGTCTCAGAATTAGGAGCCATAAAAAGAGAGAGCAGTGCATTTTGGGAATAGCATAGAACTCTGGGAAATATAGTTTGGGAAGGGAGGGGGAAGCCCTATGCCAAGGAATTCAAAAGGATCTGCTGTAAACCACATTTCCATCAGCATCAGAAAGCCTCAATTAGGAGAGGAGATCAGTCTGTAGCCAACCAGAGTTCCAATACATTTGTTAATATTCTACACTATAATTTCTGTTCCTGGGTTATAAATGGCAGTTCCTAGTTGGGTCTGTCATAAAAACATGGTGAAAGTTTATTACACTGCAAAAAAATTGTCTTTCCGCAAGGGACATCATCCTAGATCACATTTTGCTTTGTTGAGTCTCCACCAATTTATCGAAGTTTCTGCCACAAAAACAGAACTCAGTGGTTGTTCTACTCAGTAAATACTAAATAATTAAATAGGAAACAATACTTTCAAAGTGCGAACAGATGTTCTTATTATAAAAATGTTGTTTATATAAACTTTGAATATTTGCCAAAAATCTGTAGATAAGTGAAATATTCTTAAATTTGGTGGGCTAAAGTGGTAAATGTACCCTACCATTGTAGCAAGTTTCACCCCAATAGCTTTAAAAATGAGGGAGATCGGAGCCCCTGAAGTTTCCCCAATTATAGTAGTTTAATTATGCGCAATTACTAACAAAATAGTAACGAAATTCCATTAGACTTGTTATAAGTATACTTTAGAAACACCTTAGAAATAAAGAGCCACCCCCCCCCCCCCACAGTTTTATGATGACTTTTGAACCATTTTCAAAATGGATCACATGCCCCTAGTGCCTAGTGAGAACTAGCATGATGTAGTGGTTCGGACTATAACTCTGGAGAACAGGATTCAATTCCCTGCTCAGCCTTGGAAACCTATTGGGTGACCTTGTGCAAATTATACAGTACCAGTCCCAGAAGCCCCCATGATGGTTTCACCTGAAGAGTCAGAAACAACTTGAAGGTACATAACAAACCAAAGCTTCCAGTCCTTCCATGTTCATGGAACATGCCAACTCCCTCTTGATCCCAGAACTGTTTCTATGTTTTCCAATCCCCCCTCTCTCCCCGCTTCTAGTCTCTGATCCTAAGGAAATGCTCTAGTCAGGTGTGATTGATATGCCTAAATGCTAGTCATGCTATGAATTGAGGAAGATCAAGGGCATCCTCTAGTGGTGTAATGAACTCATCTGCCTAGAAGTCACCTACCAGTTTTTTTATAGCTTTTGAAATTCAGGCTAGTAAGCTCATCCTAGTAAATCAAAATGCAAGTATTGCCTTATGGGGCAATAATGAAAAATATTTGGGACTTCATTAAGAAAGGGAAAGTTTTTCATCATTTTAAGGAAATTTATCCTAAGAGATTACTCATTGATGAGCAGCCGTTCATCTGCAAATAATTCAATATTCCATTTTGTTGAGAATAAACTTGCACAATCACAGGAATGCAAAATGGAGTGATGCTGTTACTCAACACATAAACCTGTTCAACCTGGCAATTATGCAGTCTCTAGAGACAAACTCTGACAACATTTATCAAGCTGTGTTTCAAAATAGTCTACCATGTGCCTTGAGAAATACAGTTGTCTTTTGTATGTTCCTTCTGTGCACAGAGAGACATTATATAGCAGGCATGGGCAAACTTTTTAACTTGGGGGTCTCATGGTGGGCCTCGGCGGGCTGGGAGGGAGGGGTTCTCCTCAAGCCCCCTCCCTGCCCTTTCCTCCCCTTTCTCTTCTCTTTCGGAGGCAGAAAGTGAAGGAAAGACATGAAACATTTGGATCTCAAAAGGGTTGGTCTTGGTCAGGATGAGATGGTGGATGGGAGGGAAAAATGTATCCATTGGACCCCATATTGCCTACTCCTGATACATAATCCTAGAATACTAGAACTGGAAGAGACCCCCAAGGGACATCCAGTCCAACCCCCTGCCATGCAAGAAGGCACAATCAAAGCACTCCTAACAGATAGCCTCTGCGGAAAAGCCTCCACATTAGGATACTCCACCACACTCTAAGGCAGCCTACGCCACTCTCCAACAGTTCTTACTCTCAGGAAGTTTTCCCTAATCTTTTCAGTGGAATCTCTTTCCCTGCCATTTGAACCCATTGCTCTCTTGTGCCCTGACCTCTAGAACAGCAGAAAGTCAGTTTCCCCCTCCTCCTTTTAAATCTTGAAACATGGTTCTCATGCTCCCTCTCTACCTTATCTTCTCCCAGTTAAACATCCCTCAGGAGGAAGGAAAAGGAGAAGAAAGAAGAATGGAAGGAAGGAAAGGTTGAAGGAACTGGAGGGAGGGAAGAAAGGGAGGAAGAGAAGGATGGAAGGAAGGAAAGGTTGAAGGAAATTGAGGGAGGAAAGGGAGGGAGGAAAGAGAGAAGAAAGGAAAGACAAAAGGGAAGGAAGGAAGGAAGGAGAGAGGGAACGAGTGAGGAAAGAGGGAAGGAAGAAAGGATGAAAGGGTGGATGGGAAGGAAAGAGGGAAGGAGAAAGAGGGAGGTAAGGAAGGAAGGGAGGGAAGGAGGATGGAAAGAGAGAAGGAAGGATAGGGTGTTTTTTTTCCATGTCAGAAGTGACAGGTTGCTTCTGGTGTGAGAGAATTGGCTGTCTGCAAGGAGACGCCAGGATGTTTTACCATCCTGTAGGAGGCTTCTCTCATGTCTCAGCGAGCTCACCTCGCTCCAGATTTGAGCTGCCAGCCTTTCAGTCAGCAATCCTGCCAGCACAGGGGTTTAACCCACTGCACCACTGGGGGCTCCGGATAGGGTGGCGAGAGAGAGAAGGGCCTGAGAAAAGAGCCCAAGGGGCTGCATCCAGTCCCCGGGCCTGGGTTTGCCCATACCTGTTATATAGCACTGACAGTTCTCGCTGACAGCATGTAAAACTGATATGCCACTGGACAAATAAAAATGTGTTGGCATTTATTATAACATTTAGTACTGGAATTGATAAATGTAGAGGAATTTCAGACGTTATCACCACAGAAATCAGTATCATGATTACTGCTTACCAGGGAGGGAAGAACCCCATCTTCCCTCATGGCTACTACATTTGTACGGGGAAGCATACCCACTATTTTGTAATTGGGAAATGTATGTGTCCCCTTAAGAGTTCCCCCAAAGGGGAGTCAAAGCAGTTTAACATAAAAGTATTAGCATAACCATTTAAAATATACAAATATATAAACATTAAAACAGGATTAAATATAAACAGTATTAAAATTCCCAGTTAAAAACTATTAAAACAAGTTATCCCACCTGTAGCATCATGATGCAGGGCCCTCCTGCCTGGCACTAGTGGCAGCAGGGCCACCCCCTGGGACCACCACCCCTCCAGACTCCCGCCAGTGGACCTCAAGGAAGGAGGAGGAGGGAGGAAGGAAGCAGCATGGCAGTCAGGGCACCACACACCCTTGGAGCAGGAAAAGGAGGAAAGAGGAGAACAGTGTGGAACCCTTCAGTATGCCTCATTGAGTTTTTTGGGCTCCAAAGAGAACACATTTAAGAACCACTGATTAAGACCTTCTTTTTTAAAGCATCCAACTAGATGCCTTCAAGAATCCAATAAATAAGATTCTGTAACATACTATGCTTCAGCCAGAAAGAAGAGCCCTGACAAATTGTTTTTCACAAATTGTCTAATTTGCTTTGTCATCTAAGGTCAGAGCTGACATCTCTTCCTGTAGCAATATATTCCTTATACTACTCACTGTTAGAAAAGACCTTTGACATGTTTACTTAATTTGTAGCTATGTAACCATGCTTCTCTGCTTTCTTTTTTTCCCCTAAAGAGCTCCACCTGTTGAAGAAACACATGCCTAGTGCTTTCTGGATTTTAATTGTTCCTTTCCTCTCTTTTCCAGCTCTATGAGATCTTTCTAGATAAGAACTGGTCGAAATTATAAAACTATTCTAAGCAATCCATATGTATTGCTGTATTATGATAAGAGCAGCCTTGCTTTTAATCAATTTCCCAATAAAGCCAAACATAGGAGTTCATCTTTGTGACACAGCCTCTGCACTAAAGATCAAAACACTTGACTGAATAATGACTGACAAGACAGTTTCATTATGTATCAATTTTATTGAAAATAAAAACTGTTGCTAACCAAGAAAAAATTTACCAACTTAAGTTTTAATGAGCAACACAGAAACATTGCTGAAGCTACAGTAAAGCAGGGGAGAAACATTTATTGTATTTACTGTATCACATCAATACATTTAAACATTTTAGAATTGTTTACAAATATTTTAACCTGGTTCCCTCATTTTAGGTGTGGAAGCCAGACAGTTTAGTGATCACAAAATTAAAGTTAACAAAGAACTACCTATTTTGGAAAATGAAAATGCCTGTTTATGTTTTAGCATTAATAAATTCACATCACATTAAGTTTTTATTGAAAATGTGTTTTGACAGTTTGAAAATAACCCTCCACTATGTGACAATTTCCTGCTTCTGATACCATTATACCTTGCAATTTTTAGTGTCACACACTGGTAGTCACACAGAACAATGCTCTCTTTGCAATATCAAAATACAAGCTCAGATTGCAAGAAATGTTATATCTCTTTAATTTGTCTCTGTAAAATGTAGATTGAATATTCTCCTATATGCCGCACTGTGATCTCCCTTATGCTAAGATCATTTATAAAATGAACTGAGTCATGAAAAACACCGCAACCAATCTTGATGGAATTCGAAGAAAAATATATACTTCCTGACTACAGCTTATCATTTCAAAATGCACAGCATCTGCTTAAATGGATAACAAAAACAACTTCATTGGTTTGTTATTTTTTCATGTCAACATGAGTTCAGAAGAAATAAAATTATCCCTTCACAATCTAAATAGCCTTCTGTGAGCCATTAAAGGAGAGGTTCTTAAAACTGCATGTTAATCACTAGCTCAGCTCAGCCACGATGGTTTAGTCAATGCTAAGTCAGGAGAAGATAATCTATATGCAAAGAAGAAGCAGAGCCACAGTGGCACTACAGTCCGTGTCTTTGTTCATCACATTTAACTTCAACATGGGCTGCTTTAGTCAGCAAGGGTTCACCTAAGTTGTACAATGGGGCATCTGGATCATTATAATTTTCCAATTCAAATTGTTATTGTTATTGGTTACACTTTACCTAACTCTATTAAGGGGGGAACGAGGGTTGGATAAGCTTCATTCTCTAGAGGCCTATGGTCACTGGGTGAATTTTCCCTCTCTCCCATTTGCAACGTATTCAAGCTTATAGAAAATTTGACTTAAAAGTGGAATATGTATACATCTCTGAAATACCTTAACTGCGGCTCTCGGCAGAGCTTGACCTAGAGCGAGACCTCTTCTTGGCTGGGGGAGGAGAAGGGGAGGAATTTTGGGGGTGCTTCTCAGACCCCTTCCTCTCAGGGGTGCGGCTCCTAGAGCCCCTCTTGTCTGGGGTACGGCTTCGGGAGCGAGACTTGCTGCTCGATTTGGAAGATCTTGCAGACCTGGACTTGCTGCGAGATCTCGAATAACTTCTGGAACGGGATCTGCTCCTGATAAAGATAGAAAAGATTTTGTAAATTCACCGTATTTACGTGAATTTACATTTCAAGAGTTCTCACGTGACACCCAATATCCAGTATTCATATTCAATCAAAGGGTTTGCCTGAATCCAATCTTATATACCGTATTTACGTGAATCTAATGTGAAACTCATTTTTCAAGACCTTGAAACAAATAAAATAAAAAAATACAAAAGGATTTGCTGGCGGATGTAATGCGCAGCAGAAAGAGAATGGAAGGCAGGTGCATGAACAAAGGAGAGAACTGAGCCTTCAAAGAATTGGCACAGAGAGGCAAAAAGATGCAAGAAGGAAGGGGAGAAAGGCACCTTGAAAGAATAGAGAGAGGGAAAGAGAACGGAAAGAAAGAACAAGGAAAGGGAGAAAGAAGATGTAAAGAAGGAAAAAGAATAGAAAGAAGGTGCAAGAAGGAAGGGGAGAAAGAAAAGGCAGAAAGAAGAAAACAGAACAGAGGGAGCAAGCAAGGGAGCTGGCCCTGGTGAGACAGTGGCCCCAACAAGCAAAAGAACGGAGGTACAAAGATGGCTGAAGACCTTCATCAGCCACTCGCCAAAGGAGCAGGCCCCATCCGCCTTCGCCTCTTTCTCCTAGCGTCCTGGAGCTGCAAGTTGTTTTTTCAGCTTGCCGCAGGCCCCAGGAGCCAAGGACAAAGAGGCGAAGGCGCCCTTGGAGGAAGAGGAGGAGCAGCAGCCTCCTTGGTTCCTGAAGCCTCTTCATCCTTGGCTCCTGGGGCCGTTTGCTGCCTCGCAAGCTTGCAGCAGGCCCCAGGAGCCAAGGAGACTGCTGCTGCTCCCCCTCCTCCTCCACAGCTGCCTTTTGTCTCTTTGTCCTTGGCAAAGAGGCTGTCAAAACAGCGAACAGCCCCAGTATGCAGAATCTATTGCATTATGATGTCTTCTAGACAAGATTACTTCAGACGAGATTGCCATCACCATCCCTGGAGGCTGAGAGATGATTTTCCCAGTAGGTTTCTAAGGGCGAACAGGGATTCAAAACTTGATTTCCCAGAGCCAATACCAACATTCAAATGATGACTACTACTATTCATACTATTCAAGAAACATACCTGCGTCTTTTGCGATCCTCAATTAGTTTTATCCTGCGCCCATTCAACTCACTGCCATCCAACTTGTCCATTGCACTCTTCATGTCACTAGATGATGCAAACTCCACAACACTATAACCATGAGCAAAAGTGCCGTATGAGTTTGTGATTGGTATCAAGGGAAAAATATTTGCATTTAAAAATCATAAACAATTTGTTTCCTAATTGGACTAGCAGTAATTCTAGTCTTCTTCAAATCCTATAATCACATCACGGATTGGTGCATAATTCTAAAAGACCAGGATGTGGTTTGATGCTTTTGGAAGACCAGGAAATACGTTCCTTACTTCTTTTTAAGGAAATTGTACAAAAACATTATATATACAAAAGGTTCAATATAGTCACCTAGATAAGAAACCTGGAAGCACAGGTCCACTGGAGTATGCTACTTCCTTTCCTTCTCCCAGGCCTGTGGATCTTACAACTACAGGGAGTTTCCTTATGATGGTGTTGCAATAACACTGTGACCCCAATGGCTGAGATCCAAAGAGATGCATGTAGTGGCTCTGAAATTCAAATTCTGAACAGCTCCCTCTATACCAAATGGAAATTCTAGCAGTAAACATATTTTCAAAAGCTGTTTATGCTATATAGCAGATTTGCCCACTAGAATTGTTTGTTAAAAAGCTATCTGAATCCATTCACTAAATATAAAAATCACTCTTACCCTTCATTTGGATTGTTTCTGTGAGCATCTACAAAGGTAACTTCTCCAGCTTTTCTCATGAAATCTTTCAAATCCTGCAGTAAAAGTTACATTTCAGCTTATAAAAAAAAGGCCGTACTCAAAATATGATGTTAAATAGGCTTCCTGATTAAGGCTAACAATTATAGTAAAATCCCATATCTTACAGCTATTTTGAGCAAAATTAAACTAATAGCTCACATATAACACTATCCTGTTAATTTAAAGGATTACCACATACATTTAACTATTTGACATTTGAAAGGCATTATTAAATGCAAGGATTTGATAAAACAGGTCTCAGATTGCTAGTATATTAAAGGTTTGCTTGCTAACACTTTCCTTTTCACTTCTACAAAACAAATTTAAACACAAATGTCTTTATTAAGCTAATGCTAAGATTCTGTCACAAACTCTCAAAAGGCCACAACGACAACCTTCCTGGCTTTTGTCAGTCCGTGTCACAACCTCAGTGTTATTTTAACAGAGACTTGCATTTAATGTAATTGAGACTGTTGCAAACACTATTCAATTAAGCGTTAACAATGTCTTACAACAAGTTGATTATGAATTATAACCTTAAACCTTTATAAAGTGCCCCAAATAATAGCTGACATTTTATAGCCATAGGCTACTTACCACAATATACCACAAGAGGTCAGATGATATAAGCAGGTACCTTAAGCAAAGAGTCGCTTGTCCAATAATTGCCTAGCAGACCAAGAGGATCTCCCTTACATGGGAGGGGCAGAGGAATGGATCATAGCATTGTGCTTCAGGGAGATGTACCAGAGACCCTGAAAGCACTGGACACAGTCTCCGGAAGCAGCTCTAGAACCTGAGGTTGACCTGTGCTAGCCAATCGAGCTGTGGGCCAACCAAGATCTACATCGCCAAGATAGGTGTGTCATGGGTACCAAAAGGAAAACTCAGAACAGGCCAAGCCCTAGAAATTCAGCCACTAGGAACCCCAACCTCTTGGGTTCTTTCTCCTCCACACAAGAGAAACGAGGGCTAACCCAAAGCAAGGCTGTTAAAAGAGGTTCAAAATGAACTTGGTTAGATATATATTTGTGGAAAAAAATACAAACAAAAACCTAAAACTGAACGACAGTTGATAGGATGCCTCAACTTATTCAGTGCTTAATATTGTTCACTTTAGTCTTAAAACAAACTAGCATGTGAATCAAACAGTTTGAAAAGCTGAGCCTTCATACAAACAGTTTTAAGAGAAGCAATCAATTCTACAACATGCAGAGCACTCCAGCCCAAATTTTGCATAACACTGTTGTATGCACATTTCAAAGGTCTAATGGTTCAGGTCATGCTAAAACAATGAGCACAAGAATTTTGAATAGTCAAGTCCAGAGTACTTAGCATCTGTAAGATTGAATTCTTCCCATATAAAGTTCATAACATATAATTAAAAATTATGTTACAAGTATTTCAAACTAATTACATCCACAATAAATAAGACACAAAGCTAAATAATTGTTTTAACCAATCCTTGTATAATTAGCAATTCTTTAGCTTTGACAGCACAAGCATATACATACAAAAGCACACATTTACATTTTAAAATCTGACTATACCACATATGAAATTATGACTGCCTGTCTACTTGAAACTCATTGTAAATTTAATGTTTAATTAGCACACTAGGTACATGGAGAACAAAGCTGTACAAAAGTTCTTATCTTAAATATTACTACCTAGAGTCTGGTCAGAGACAATTTAGGCAAGTTAACTGTGTTGCTACACCTTTCTACATTAGGCCAAGGTTTGTAGGTTCCCTATCTGAAGTATGTGAAAAAAACTTGTAAAGGGAAAGCGAAAATTATCTATGACAAAATGAGGTTCTACTCATAATCAAAAGGAGGCTATGATACCCTTAAAAGCCAGAATGTGTTGGCCTGGTAAAGGAAATGTATGTATGTTCATGTTAAAAGTTTACATAGCTGCATGCTGGATTCAAGACATATTATTTATTACTCCTGAATATCAGGGCACATGTTCAGAGAACATGTGAGCTTAAAATCCTGGCTCTGCTGTTTTCTACCATTTGTCTCTAATATTAAAGAAATAATGATCAAACGCAAAACATATGAAACTACTTCTCACAATAGGTAAACAGCACACTTTAATGGTTTTAATTATATTAAATTATATGAGACAATCACAAGCTGACATCAATGGCCTTTAAAATTATTGATGTACTGCATTCCAAACTGCATCCTGAGATTATTATTAGTAGTACAATACCAGCCTTAGCAAAATCAGTGAGTTTAAATATTTGCAAAGGTTTAACTTAAAGAAATGGGCACTAAGTGATAAGGGCTTGAGCAGATTATGCAATTAACTACGTTAAAATGGGAAGCAATACATTAGAAAATTCTACATTTTGCTATTTAGCATTTTCTGTTTCAAAGTATACAGAAAATGACAAAACAGGGCAACAATCATGTGCAAATTAATGAAGAAAAAGAAATGGGCATGGATGCAGTATGGTAACAATATTCTTCCCTGTCTTTACGAGGCAGACATGAACATCTGCCAGACCTTCAAATTAGTCACCACTTTTTTTCTCAAGCAAAGTATAAATTCTGTAAACATTGAGCATCCTCTGAGATAAACCAATGCCTGAAATTATTTAGTGTTTCTCATACAATTGGTAATCTCACCTATACCCAAAGCATACATGGCTTTTCCATAAAGCAGCCGATAGTTTGTATCATGGCAGCAAAACAGATTTGAACAGAAATGTTTAACTTTGTAATTAAAAACCATCATAATAATCATCACTGCCTTTATGTTTCTTAGAATGTGTTTGCCTTCCCTAAGCTACTCTTAGCCCTGCTTCACTCAGGCTGGGAAGGCACTCAAAATGAAACTGCTCTATCCAGAAAGCCATCATGCAAAGTAGTTGACTGATTCTGGCTATTTTTCTAGGTTAGGCGTTAAAGTCCCAAGCAAAGAATTTCATAAACCTACACTGTCAGAAAGAGTAGCTCCAACTATTCACAGAAGAAAGGAGAGCAGCACACCATTCCTGTATGTGCAAAGGAAGCCAAAGTGTATACCAGATCTAGTTCATATTCAGTATCTTTTTGATATTCAATACACATGCCTAAATTCAATGCAATAGAACTATCATAAAAAGCACAGGTTAGTCTCACTGTAAACTACAAAACTGGCTTGATAGTTACTACTGCTGTAATGTAATGGAAACAATATACTGTATGAGCATATGGGCCACCCAGATATGGAATGCCTTTCTTTTGGATGGCATCAAATATGGTCTTAAAACCTGGCCTTCGACAAAAGCCTTTGGGCACTTCACTTGATGTGTACAGATATAACATTTTATATTGTTTTAACTGGAACTTTTTAAATTAGGCCATGCCTAATATTTAAAATGTTGAAATGTTGCTGTGACATTTTATTTTCTTACATTTTAAATTGTTCTAATTGATTTTACTCTTAGTTGCCCAGAGATCTTATGATATGAGGTGGAATAAAAATAAATATACAGGTAGTATCCAGGAGCAGCTACATCCTTGAGATGTCAGGAAGAGTAAACACAAATACAACATGCACACACTTCAGAAAATGTACTAAAAAGTTTGAGACACAAGTTTCCAACTTCATGAGGCAAGGAGGTGACAGTGGTTTTTGCACGTAGTCTTGGACAGAAAGTGAAACATTTCCCATAACTGTAACCAAACCAAATTAATGGTAGAATATCCCTAATAGCTGAATTGACACTCCAAATTAGGAGGGAATAAAAGTGGACCAGTCGGTATTGGGGAGAAAAAGCTTGCTTGTACCATTCCCTGAGGCATATCTCAAGATGAAGTAACATATCAAATGGTAGTCCTTGACTCGCCTTTGGGCTTGAGAAAGGCGGGATAGAAATATTGTAAATAAATAAATCGTAAATAAATATGGTCAGCTAGCATTTTCTTCTTCTAAGAACAACTTGTCACCAAGCTCCTCCACCCATGGATAGACACTTATCAGTGGACATTCCACATGGTTATTCGAAAAATTAATTGTTTATCTTGCTTTTCTCTTTCAATCATCCAGTCTCCTTCTGGCAGATATATATTATGTGTGCTTTTGTACAACACTTTAGTAAAGACCTGTAACAAACCACAGCAGCAAACCTTTTTTTTCTAAAATGCAAGAAAGTAACTAATTCTGAAAGCCTCTTGGAAATAAAACATCAAAATTTTAAAATTCAAAGAAAATAGTAGAAACTGAAAAAATGTACTTGAATTCACTCATTTTATTTCAATTAGTATGCTGTCTTTAGCAAATATGTGTTAAATATATGTATTTTATTCTAAAATTGATCCTGCTGTAATATTCCATATATATTCCATATACTGCACATATTTGACAGACTTCTCTGCATCCTCATGAGAATTTTTCATTCTTGAGTAAGGTCCTTCATTCATATGCTGGCCACTGATGGCTTCCTTGTTCCAGTAGTTGTTTCTTCTATACAACATAATGCCCAGTTTGTACACATTCAAGCTTAAACCAGTTCCTACCCCTTGTTACTTCAAGGTGCCAAGGAAAACCTTGTTTGTCATGCTTCTAGCACTCATTTCCTGTTCTAAAATTTACATGAATTGAAAAATGGTGAACTTGAGACTAGCTAACAGTGCTATATAGCCATACCACAATAGTCTGCGAATTAATATTAAGGTTCGAATTGATGGTAACCGAAGTATAACAGCATCTTGCTGTTCATAAAACTTTGAATTCAGGACACAACCAAAATGGTGGAAGGAATTAACTTGTGAAATATTCAATTTCAAGTCATTAGCATATATCAAATAGCGAAAGTGAAGTTTTGAAAACAGGCCTGTCATAATTAAATAATTGGCTTGTTTTCATTAAAAATTACACATAAAACCACATTCAAACGTAATTTTACTGACTCAATTAAAACTCAATTTTTGTTACCTCACTCAAACTTTAAGAATGGATCTAAGTTTTGAGATTTGTAACAGCACTAGTGAAAGCAGTGAATATAGTACAGGGTGAGGCAGCATAATTTCCTTTTTTTAAATGTGTGCCATTCAGTCAATTGAAGACGTAGCGGAGCACTAATGGTCTTGTTCGAGAGGCGGGAGTATAAAGTTTCGTCCTGACACAGTTCAGTTGCCAGCATGCGTTGGAACAGTGAGGAGCATGCTTTTGCCGTTGAGGCCTACTTTTTGAGCGGATTTGGAGTGGCCGGCCAGCTTTCCAAATTTGGCCCCTTGTGATTTTTTTCTATGGGGTTTTTTGAAATCCCGTGTTTATGTGAATTGTCCAAGGACCCTACAAGATTTGAAGACCAACATCCAGGAAGAAATTGCCAACATAACGCCTGCTATGCTGGCAAGAGTCATGACAAACGCCAGAAATCGGTTTACTCAGTGTATGGAGAATGGAGATTGGGGGATGTCACCTACCTAATTTGATCTTCAAAACTACATAAAACAAAACTATATGTGCCTACATTATAAAAAAATAAAAAAATTCTGATTCATACAATGGGTTTTATTAAGTTTTGAAAAAAGGAAGTTATGCAACCTCACCCTGTATATTAGGTTCATATAGTATAGCTGATTCTATAGTACACTTGCTTGGAAGGGCCACTATAAAGGAACTATGTAAGATCCTCAAGATATATTTACAAGACAGGATTGTCCATGCCACTGAAGTTCCAATTTCCATGTTTGATTGCAAAAAAAAAATGGACATTGAAAAATGCTGACAAGAAGAGAATCTTCTCCTTTGGAATGTGGCAGAGGTTAGAGGGCTATCTCTCAGGAAAGATGCAATTATGTATTCCTGTACAGCAGGGAGTTGGATAACAGGGCCTTTGGGGGGGGGGGGTCCCCCCTTCAGTAGGGTAAGCTAGACTTGACAATTTAGCAAATTAAAATATTACAAAAGGAGAGGAGAAAAAACAGTACCCATTATTCTGAACATTTCAAACATCAAATGGTTCAGATTTGCAGGGAAATGTTTACCGGTATTTCAAACAACTGTTAAATTGACACAGCCCCATTAGCAAAATACAGTTAAGAAAAAAGGACATCATAGACAATTTAAAAGAAAAGTGTATAGTACGCATCCACTCTTAGACAATCTAGCTCATGCAATTATAAAAAGCAGAAGCCCACTTTGCAAGGAAACCAAAATCTTCCGTACAATGCCTAAATTCATATGCAAGTTAGACAGTCCAGCTAGCTAATATAAATCATAAACCTCCTGAAGAGTACAGACAATATATAAGGGTTTCTGCATTAGAAAGAAAACCAATAGTCTTAGCTATGTGGTTATTCTGTTCATTCTATTAAAGCCAGATACAAACTGGAAACAAGCCACAATTTTTATCATTGAATGAAACCTGCCTTTTAATTTAAAAGATTACATGTCTAAAATGGACTTTTCACAGTTCCTTTTAGATGAAGATTATAGTTGTCCAAGAAACACTAATCAGCATTTTAGGTTATGTTGTTTTTAAAGGAATTCTCTGTCTAAATATTTATTTGTTGTTATTTGTATCAAAGAACTTTAAGCCTTGGCTTCAATAGTTTTCTGACTCTTTTTTAACAGTAATGTTACACTTCAGGAAACCAAATAAAACCATTTTTGAGTAAGATAAATCTTATTTAACATAAAGTCCAACTCACCTGCCAGCTGACACGTGAAGAAAGATTTTCAACTATAAGCCTGTGTTCAGTACGAAGAGGTGGACCATACTGGCTACAAGAGAAATAATAAGAATAAAACTTTATTTATAACCTGCCCTATCTCCTTGGGGGGGGGGGGGGGGGGGGGGGGAGGAGGACTCAGGGTGGTTTCCAACAAAAGATGGCAAACATTCAATGACATAATAAACAACAGAAACAAAACAAAACATATCAATACAAACTAGGCGTGGTAGATCTAAACCAATCACATTTACAAGTATTCCTTTAGTTCATGTATGCTTCCCCCCTCCTGAAATTCAAATGCATGCTGCTCTGAAAGTTAGTCTGTTCTTTAGAAATATGGTCATGCTCTTTTTAAATCAGGGCAAGGCCATCAATCAGGTGTCATGCTGTTTGTTGTAGGTAAGGCAAAGTGAGTACATACAAAAACCGTAAGACACAGGCATAAAGACTATGGCCCAGTTCACACACGTGTTAATCAGTCAATAGCTTCTCTATGTGAAAATGTCATCTAATGTTAATTCTGTTAGTAAAATTCATACAGTTAGCATAAACATGACACATGATGAACACACTTGCATGAATCAATCCTAGGAATGGATCAGGCTATGCTGAAGGTATATGTGTTACAGTAATGTGTTAACTTCAATAAGCTCCAGTGAGATTGGACACAATTTAGTCCATATATTATATTAATGCAATTGTAAAACGGTAATATGAATAAATAGCAAATCCTACATTCATTACTTTAGGCTAGTTGTAAAAATCCACCCAAGGTGATGGTTCTTTCATATTACAAACAGTGACAACCAACATGTTTTCCCTTTGAATATGGAAGCAGAGTCATTTCAATTTTACTTGTCTGTCTCCAATAGTCCCACATTTTAGAATATCCAGATCTTCAAGGTATTTAAGTAGAAGTCACCTCTGGAATCCCTTCTTGTCACACCATCTGCCAGTTGTAATGAATATGACTACCATGCCAGACGTCCATGGACATCTTTCATATATCCTTCTTTTAAAGTTCACTTTTAGCTTGTCCTTACTGCCGTAACATTATTATTACATTTATTTATGCCCCGCTTTATCTCTCCCAAAGGAGACTCAAAGCAGCTTAACATAAAAGCATTAGCATACAATTTAAAATATACAAATATAAAAACATTAAAACAGAATTAAATATAAACAGTATTAAAACATCACAGTTAAAATCCATTAAAACATATTCAAAGTTAAAAACCACAGCACCCCCTGGCATGTTCTTAAAATTATCATCACAAAATAACATCACTGTACTAAATGAAAAAAAGAATCTAAACAGCCTATTTTAAAATGCAAATTTGGCTGTTCTCAATCCCTTTTTTCAACACTGGAATAGAAAAAAAGGATGCCTGAATATTATACAAATATACTAAGTCAAAGCAGCTCTTATTACAAGTATCTTAACAATTTCTTGAAAGAGACTACATCAAACAGAGGATTCTAGAGGAAAAATCGATAGTTACAGTTCATGAGTCTCCTGAGGGCTGAGAAGGGCAATATATTTATTTATTTATAGTAAATAAATAAATAAATTTTCCAGGTGTAACATTTTTACGTAAGAGACTAGCAAACATGTGCAACAAATACAAATTCCATAATGATCACTATAGATTTGTAGACTACAAAATTTATTTTGATGTAGAGTTTGCTAACACTGGGGCATCATAAGCTTTTTAACATACAAGCATGTTTTACTTGAGGTTTATATTTTAAGAAAATATGGCAGGGAATGAACTAGATGGCCTCTGTAATTCCTTTTATGATTCTATGAAACACTATCACAAGTTTAGGCTATTGACATGTAACTAAATGTAACTTGTACATCATAATGAATATCAATGGCCATAAAAAGGATTACATTTTAGCCATAAAACCCTTGAGCCATTTACAGCGCAAGAGATAAATACTTCACTAGCTCATATTTCCATCACAGTATTAAGAGGTAAAAGTGTCACTTCACAGTGAGATAGCTAAGATACAGTACACACACATATATAGTATTTAAAAATAAAAATAAATGGTCAAAAGTCATCAGCCTAAAAAAAAACCCAGAGAGCTTTCACTCCTTGGAGAATCTTGAGCTAACTATATAAACATTACCAAAAATTTTAATTGTAAATATCAAAGTAATCACAGCTGGTTATACACACACCTTTAAATTTCATATAAGGACGTACAAATATGAGATATCTGGAACCCCAAAATAATGGCAGGAGGTTGGACTTGATGACCCATGTGTTCTCTTCCAACTTTGCAATTTTGATTCATAGAACTTGCCAATACGTAAAGCGCATACATACTAATATACTTTTAGATTTCTCACAAATAAAAAAGAAACAATTTCTTACCTAGATCCACCCCCGTAGGACTGGTAATAACTGAATCGTTGTGAATATCTGCCCCTACCCCCTCTCCGGGCTCTGGCATGTTCAATTGTAACTCTTTCATAACAAAGAAAAAAAGACATATGGAAATAAGCATACTGAAATTATGCATTTTCTTTCAATGCATTCAAATAAATCAATGAAAGCTTCTGGAGTATTTGAAAATAAAAGCATCTACTCCGGTCACTACAAGCAAGGAACTCTCATTCTCAGAATACCTTCTTCAGACATGCATCTGTTTTAATCCGCCCTGAGTCCCTTTGGGGAGAGAGAGCGGAATATAAATAAAGTTGTTGTTGTTATTATTATTATTATTATTATTAGACAACTTAAAATATCTGTTAGAGGCCTTATTGAGAGAGAATATGTTTTAATTATATTTGTTCAGGAATTTACAGCAGTTGACTAAAAAAGTCAAACCAATATTTTGCATTACATATACTGATAGCAAGAGGAATGGGAGAGTCCATTTGTTTTTGCTCAGAGGAGAGTAAGAAACACAGGAAGGTTTCTGAATTTACGCATTTTCTCTCACATTCTCTATGCTTATCAGAACACACAAAAGAAAGCCTGGGACTCTCTCATTTGTACTGTAATTTGAAAATGTCTTCTTGCAGTGGAAATAATAGAAGCCAGTTTCTAAGAGAAGTTAGTCTCTCCTGACTTCTGTCTGTGTGATAAAACGTTGTTTCTTATCTTTTTCAATCAGTTAGAGGTCCAGGGCAAATAATTTCTTGACTGAATGAATTACTTAAAATTTTGCAATTTGGTTTTAAAATATACATTAGACTACACAGTTTAAAAAGTGAGAAAAAATAATAACATTGGTCATTACTTCTGATAAATTATGTAAGACTACCAATCAAAATGCTGGACACCATGTTCCTTTTATCCAAGAAGATAATTATATAATGCCCATTGGGTGAAATGGCAAGTGGTTCTTTACTATGAAACAAACATTAAGGTGAGATCATAGATAAAAGTTCCCCTTTGAAAAACTAGATAAACTACTATTCTCTTTGTTTTTCTCTCTTTTTGGCAAGGAAGAACTACTAACTTTCTCGTTGACTCCCTTGAAACAATGGAACATGCCATCCCAGACTCAGGAAAGTGAAGGGTAGCCTTCTAGAAGCCATTTGACTTCAATTCCCATCACCTCCAACAAGCATTGCAAATAGTCAAATGAGAGTTCTGTTTCAATATAATCTGAAAACTCCTTTGACTTAAAGGAAGGAAAAAAAGATAAGATACTCCAAACCACAGTATAAATGTTAATTTTTTCATTTACAAGCAAAATGATTTAGAAAGTATTTGTCAGTAAAGGGAATTAATTTTAGGAGTAATAGGTTAACAAACTGGCAATTAATTCATTGTTAATAGTAAGCATCAGATATAACAATTTACTAACTGCAATTGCTCTTTCAATTGTTTTATTGGAAGTTAAATTTACCTTTCATTACATAGTTCTTTACCATTCAGTTCATAAACGGCATCATCTGCATCTCGGTGATCCTCAAATTCCTAGAAAATGAGAAGAGTAATGAGCGAAAGAATAAAACAACATTTTTCAATGGTCTTAACACTGTTCAGAGATTGCATCTTAAGTTATAAAAGAAGCTAGACTAACACACTTCAGTTAAAAAAAACAGAGAATACAGAAACAGCTGCTAATTTCAGGCATTTCTTCACTTATATAAAGCAACTTGGTTTCAAAAAAGAAAGTAACTTTTTTTTTAATTTACTGGGACTGGGGATAATTCAAAGAGTTCCCATTGAACGCCACTTGTTTTCCAAATATTTAAAAACTTGTAATTTTTATTCAAGCAAACTGAAAATATATATTTAGCATCTAGGCATCCTCATGATGCTGGTTAACTGAGAGCCTACTGCATTTATACTGCTATTAGTTTTTTGGTATAATTTAAAACTGTATTGTTTTAAATATGTTGTACTGAATCCCATTATTGGGAGAAAGGCAAGATAAATACATAAATACATATAAGTCAAAACCAACAAAATATTTGTCATATGTAATGCAATGTGATCAGATACTATATATTATGAGGCTTCACAGATTTCTGACTGTTATATCAGCATATTTGAAAAACGGTAAACAATGATATAACAGGAGCAAATATGTTAACTAGAGAAACAGTGGGATGTAGTGGTTTGATCACTGAACTATGATTCTGGATAGGCTCAGGCATGGAAACCCAATAAAAATAAGTATAGAGAAGGTTTTGTTGGTCAAAAGTCTGGAGACAACTTCCAAGTCCTTCACTGAACATATGGTGAAACAGAACCTAGCACATTAGATTTGTGCATATTGTGGTTTTCATTTCATGAAGAATATTCTTAAAAATTAAAATCAAATCATATGAGTGTTCCATATACAAAAAAGAATTCGTTTTAAAAAGAGCTAGTACAATTTTTATGAAACTCTATGGGGTTTTGAAGTTAACTAGGTCTCCAAAATTCAGTAATCTGTCAGAAATATAAACTTCTAGTATATTTCATTTATACAGGAGGATTTGCATCTAAAATGCTTATGGAAGGGCACTGTAACTGCTGGTTTCCTATCTTTAGAGCAGCCCACTGTTGAATGTAATATGGTCCTCTAAAGATGGGCTGGGCATTTTCTAGAGTGGGACCTCCTAGAGCGACTTTTAGATCCCTGTATTTTTGTAGCAGAGTCTATCCTAAGCAAATGATATCCCAAACTTGGTAGAGGAAAAAAGATGGTTGCCTTTCCTTTTCTTCAGTCAGTAGAGAGACTGTTAGAAAAGTGTCTGTTAAGTGAGGCAGGAGTGCCTGCTGCATAGCATGGTAGTAGTCATCATCACTAATAAAGTGGAAGTTGTCTCCATGGGTCTAAATATTCTAAAGGCATCACAGGCTGAAGGGGGATGTCAGAGGGAGGTGGGGTAGAAATACTAACTCTCACCTGCCATATTTCAGGGACAATCACTTGCACTTTTAATTCTGAATAGCGTTTTATGGGAAACTTGTACTTCCACTTTCTCCAATGTACTGCCCTGTAGATATCACTGACTGTCTCTCTATCACTCCTAATCAGCACGGTTAGTTGAGTTGTTGTAACTGAAAAGTCTTTAAATCACTGTAACGGTGGACCTAACAGGAAGTCTTTAAATCACTGTAACGGGGACTTAACAGAAGCTGAAGAGATCAAGAGAAGGTGGCGAGACTATACAGAAGATCCGTACAGGAAGGATAATAATATCGAGGATAGTTTTGACGGTGTGGTGAGTGAAATAGAACCAGACATCCTGAGGAGTGAGGTTGAATGGGCCTTAAGAAGCATTGCTAACAACAAGGCAGCAGGAGACGATGGGATCCCAGCTGAACTGTTTAAAATCTTGAAAGATGATGCTGTCAAGGTAATGCATGCCATATGCCAGCAAATATGGAAAACACAAGAATGGCCATCAGACTGGAAAAAAAATCAACTTATATACTAAATGCTAAAGACTGCTCAAACTTCCATACAGTGGCCCTTATTTCTCATGCCAGTAAGGTAATGCTCAAGATCCTGCAAGGAAGACTCCAGCAATACACAGAGAGAGAGTTGCCAGATGTACAAGCTGGGTTTAGAAAAGGCAGAGGAACAAGAGACCAAATTACCAATATCCGCTGGATAATGGAGAAAGGCAGGGAGCTTCAGAAAAGCATCTATTTCTGTTTTACTGACTACTCTAAAGCCTTTGACTGTGTGGATCATAACAAATTGTGGCAAGTTCTTGGTGGCATGGGCATACCAAATAACTTTGTCTCTCTCCTGAGGAATCTGTATAAGGAACACTTAGCAACAGTAAGAACTGACCATGGAACACAGACTGGTTCAAGATTGGGAAAGGCATACAATAGGGTTGTATACTCTCACCCAACGTAGTCAACTTGTATGCAGAACACATCATGCGATGTGTAGGGCTTGATGAATGTAAGGCTGGGGTAAAAATTGCTGAAAGAAACATTAACAACCTTACATATGCAGATGATACCACTTTGATGGCTGAAAGCGAGGAGGAGCTGAGGAGCTTTCTAATCAAGGTGAAAGAAGAAAGTGCAAAGGCTGGGTTGCAACTAAACATCACAAAAACCATGATTATGGCAACAAGAATGATTGATAACTGGGAAACAGAGGGAGAAAACATGGAGGCAGTGACAGACTTTGTATTTCTAGGTGCAAAGATTACTGCAGATGCAGACTGCAGCTACGAAATCAGGAGACGCTTACTTCTTGGGAGGAGAGCAATGATCAAGCTTGATAAAATAGTGAAGAGTAGAGACATCACACTGGCAACAAAGACCCACATAGTTAAAGCAATGGTATTCCCCATAGTCACCTATGGATGTGAGAGCTGGCCCATAGGGAAGGCTGAGCAAAGCTAGATGCTTTTGAATTGTCGTGTTGGAGGAAAGTTCTGAGAGTGCCTTGGACCGCCAGAAGATCCAACCAGGCCATACTTCAGGAAATAAAGCCTGACAGCTCATGAGGGGAAGGATAGTAGATACAAAGATGAAGTACTTTGGCCACATCATGAGAAGAAAGGGAAGTTAGAGAAGACAATTATGCTGGGGAAAATGGAAGGAAAAAGGAAGAGGGGCTGACCAAGGGCAAGATGGATGGATGGCATCCTTGAAGTGACTGGATTGACCTTGAAGGAGCTGGGAGGGTGATGGACGAAAGGGAGCTCTGGCATGGGCTGGTCCATGAGGTCACAAAGAGTCGGAAGCGACTGAATGAATGAACAACAAAAAAACAGTGCCAACGACAGATACCTTAAATATATCTAGTAAAGAACTTCAAGCATCACAGTCACTTACCCAAGGTCAACTGTTTCTATTTACCCTCGGGCTGAGAGTGGCGGTTAACAAGTGCAAATAATAAATAAATAAATAAATAAATATTTCAAATATTAATGCTGGTCTTACTTTCAATGCTTTCTCTGCCCAAATTCCACATTTGGAGGGAAAACATGACACTTGCTTTATCTGATTAAATTATGCTTTTAAAAAGTAGGGCCAAAATTAAGAAAAGTGTATCCTGGCAACTGCAAAAGAGCAGTTCCTGCTTAAAGCTCGGTTACACATGACAGTAGAAAACTAATAATGAAGCGTTATAAAATGGAAGATAATACTGTGGCACAGTAAGAGAGCAGAGGCTGCAATATCACTGACTCTTGTTTAACTACACATGGTGGTGTGCGATTTAAATACATTAAATGTAAGACCTGCTAAATACAGGTGGATAATGTGTAACAAGTAAGAGGGACACTGGCAAATGAGGATGCTTGCCATAGATGCAGGCGAAACGTCAAGAGAAATGCCTCTAGAACATGGCCCTATAGCCCGAAAAAACCCACAAGAACCTACACTGGCAAATATTGGCATGCCCAATAGCAACTGCTCCCATATTGGCAGATTCAATAGCAACTGCTCCCATTCTATCACAATATGCAGTCAAATTATATAGAAACATTTATCTTCACTAAAGACTTAATGGGATAGTTCCACTGGTTCAAAACAATCCCACAGTAAATGCTAGTTATGGAATGTACAGGTCTGCCAATAATACCCCTGATGTTTTGCAACTGAAACTTCTGCAACCACATTTTCACCCTTAGCATATTTTCTGGGTAACAACTGGAAAATGGTAGCAATCATATTCAATGTATGTGTGTTTTCCATATATGTTTCCTCTCATAATAAAAGTCTCTTTCAAGTGACAGTATCATAAACAGATGATCTGACTATAACACAAAAAGCAGATGGTCAAAAACATGGTATTGCAGTACAAAAATGACTTTTAGTGATGTGCCTTCTAGTCAACTCCAATTTATGACAATCTTAAAATCAGATTTTCTCCACAAGATATATTCAGACAAGATCTGCCACCACCTTCTAGTCGGAGAGGTGTGACTTGCCCAGGGTCACATAGGCCCTTCCACACAGCCTTATATACCAGAATATCAAGGCAGAAAATCTCACAATATCGGCTTTGAACTGGGTTATCTGAGTCCACACTCTGATAATGTGGGATTTTCTGCCTTGGTATTCTGGGATATAGGGCGTGTGGAAGGGTCCCAAGTTGGTTTCCATGGTGTAGGAATCAAAACCCTGGACTCCAAAAGGGGAAGCCCAACACTCAAATCACTATACCACATCAGCTACAAAATATGAACACTACAAAAAAACTGAATTGCTTACAAATCCATTGGACTAATTTGTATTGCTTACTATGTCATAGCAAATTACTGTGTTATAGTAAGTCATTTGCACTGATGTAGCCACTGTAGTGAACTGTTCATGATAAAAAGACAGAACAGACTGGCTCTGCATTCCAGACAGAAAAACACCAGAAACACAAAGACCATCAGAATATTCAAAGGAGTAGTATCAAAAATAACTTTTTTTCCTGGCACAGCATCATTTTGCTGTATTGCTCCAGTATTTCATAGGTGTAGGCAACTGTGTGGATGGATATATATATATGTCTCTTCAAGTTGCCTATTAAATTATGGCAATCCCATGAATTATGCATAGTTTTTCTTCGGCAAATAATACCCAAAGGTGGATTTGTCAGTTCCTTCTTCTGAAGTACAGCACTGTTATTCACTGCCTCCCATCCAACTGGTAGGCAGGATTGACTTTACATAGCTTCCAAGAGATCAGGTGGGATTTGATGCTGTTGGAACAGCCATGGACAAACTTCGGTCGTCCAGACGTTTGGACTTCTACGTATACACACACACACACCCATATAGGTTGATGACCAGCACAAAAACAGGAACAAACGTCAGAATAGGAACATATATAGTAAGGTATTAAGAAACGATTCCTATTGGATTTGAAGTCCTATTGGAATTGAAGTCCAAAACAAATGGGGGGCTGAAGTTTGCTCATGACTGTGTTAAGAGCATTTATGCCCATGTGGGGAACTACCATATCATTATTGCTGATAACTACTACTGTGCTGTACAGCAGGCACTGTTACCTTACTTAATATGCATTTTTCCTAATGTGAATCTCTCTATTGACCAAAAATAAAGCAAGGCAAACATCTTTTTTCTGTACAGATATGTTTGAAGGAAGCAGGGGATGATATGTATGAATTCAAATTAATTTTAACATGCATTTTCTGGATCTTTCCTGAGGAAAAAACTTTTAGCAGAACACTTTTAACATGTATCAAGTTACACTATATAGTTATTGATTAGCTTTACAGCAATGCCCTCACAAATTGTTAGGCATCAGTACAAGGTCAGCCACTGCACTAATGCAAACTTTTTGAAACATGTATCTCTTCTTACAAGAAAACAAAACCTAAGTTTCTATACAGACAAATAAGGTGACAGGGCAAATTCTAGCCTGCAAAACCCTGAAAAAATTCTCTTGGCCAGATGGCCAAAGGAAGTGGATCATGAAAGCAGCAAGTAATGCTAAACAGAGAAACAGGACATGCAAATCAATGAGCCTTACTAAATTTACTCAAATGATCAAATCTTGAGGAAGTAACATGTTTTTCTCTCTGTCTCTCTCTTGCATAAAAGAGTGGTAAAGACAGATGTATGTCTCACTAGCACTATTGTGTTTTCCCAGCAGCCAGAGCTGGATGGGTTTGTTTGTTCTCCCAGCCACACATATAGAGCTAAGGTGTGCCGAAAATATGAGCATGGACTGCTGGAGGGTCACCTAATGCCTCCTGATTGCTAGATTCTTTCAAAGAAAGGTGAAGTAGCCAGGCAGAAACGCACTTCTCAGATTTACATCTGCAATTCTCAAAGCAAACAAATGATGTTCTGCTGTAATGAGTATACTCTTATGCAACTAACCTAATTATAGAATTTCTGGTACAACTTTAAAGATACCACAGTAGACTGTTACATTTCTTCTATTCCAGGGGCAACCTCCCCCCAGTTTCTTCTTTCAAGAATAATGTCTTCAGCCATTTCAAACATTTGCACTTAGATTTAAGTCAAAATAACTAATATTATGCAATTAGAGCTATACAGCAGAGAACGTGCAGTACTAATGATAGTTGCCTCTCTTCTATCTTCATGACCTTGAAAAGGGAGTACAGTGTTCCCTCACTACATTGCGGTTGGCTTATTGTGGACTTGCTATTTCGCGGGTCTGCAATAAGCAAGGGGGGGGGAGTCGCGGGGGGAGGAGGAGGAGGGGAGGGAGAGCCAGGCACTAGGCCTTAACCTGGGGCTTGTCTCTGCCCACTCAGCAGCAGCCTCATCCTATTCGCCGAGTCTACTGCTTGCCGCCTCAGAGGCCCCTTGGGATTTGTTGACGGCACTGATGGACCAGGCCTCAGCCCAGCCTGGCAGTGCCATCAACGGCGCCCTTGGAGGCCCCTTGGGCGCCATCAGTGGGCTCCGAGGCGGCGAGCAGCAGACTCGGCAAAGAGGTTGAGGCTGCTGCCAAGTGGGCGGAGCATCCTTACTTTACGAATTTTCACTTATTGCAGGTAGTCCTGGAACAGATCACCTGCGATAAGTGAGGGAATACTGTAGATGAAAAGTACAACACACCCAATTTTAGGAGTGGAGAGAGTTGCCTGTGCTGAAAAAGATGTTTAGGTAAATCCATTAGGACATAAGCAACTTACAAATCAAGACTATTGGTTAAAAAAATTCAGCTAAAATGCCTTTTATCCTTTAGGTATTTTCTTTTTCAAATAACAAATGAACAACAATAAAAAATATACAAGTGCAATATTTCACATGTCCTATTTCTTAACTGTTATCAGTTACAGATAGCTGCTTGTGGTCTTTTAGCTTGCTGTACCTACCACAAAACCAAAGCCATTTTTAAGATTTATTTCACGGATGCGACCATATCCCTTGAAAAATTTCTCCACATCTCGCTCTCGGGCATGTGGACTTAGACGTCCAACGAAGACACGACAGCCACTCATTTTATTCTAAATGGCAAAAAGGGAAGATTATTAGCTCATTAAAAATACTAATTATAATTATGCCAAAAATGTGTTCTAATGATCTCAAAACAAGTTAAAATTTCACATGACAGCAAAGATGCAAACAACTTACAAAGGAATCTAAATTTATACTGTACCTGAAAAACTAACAAGAGAAGCAGTCAAACAGCAACTCACTAAATAAATAATTAAGGTAAAGGTTTCCCCTGACATTAAGTCTAGTTATGTCTGATTCTGGGGGGTGGTGCTCATCTCCATTTCTAATCTTAAGAGCCAGCATTGCCCGTAGTCATCTCTAAGGTCATGTGGTCAGCATGACTGCATGGAGTGCCATTACCTTCCCGCAGAAGCGCTACCTGTCGATCTACTCACATTTGCATGTTCTCAAACTGCTAGGTTGGCAGAAGCTGGAGCTAACAGCAGGAGATCACCCCGCATCCCAGATTTGAATCGCCAATGTTTTGATCAGCAAATTCAAAAACTCAATACAGGCCCCAATAAATAATTAAGGTCTTTTTTTCCTTACACCAGCTGCACTACTGTTAGGAATAATAAGGCTTTCAAGTTGTAGGGAGTTATTGTGTAATTCAGAGGTTGGCACAGTCCTCCAAAGGGAGGAGAAGGCTCAGAAAAAGACAATGTCATACTACACCCTGAATGTCCATGATAAGCAAAAATCAGTCACAAAACAAGCCTCCTCATCAGGAGAAACTTATCAAGTTGACAAGAGATTGGACATTGATTTTTTTCTAGTTGGGATTTAAAACAATGGCCACTTTAACAGGACATTGTACATTCACAGATTTTGATGCCTATGGTGGGTACTGGAATCACATGTCAATGGATTTCAAGGACCAATTTTAAACAGTTCAGGTCCTGCTTATCTTTCTGAATGTATCACTTTCTATGAACCAGCGCGAGCTCCAAGATCTGCTGGGGAGGCCCTCCTCTCACTCCCACCTATCACAAGCATGGTTGATGGGGATGAGAGAGAGGGCCTTCTTGGTGGTGGCCCCCCAGCTTTGGAGCACCCTCCCTAGGGAGATTAGGCAGGCCCCCACTCTGCCCACTTCCCGTAAAGACTTGAAAACTTGATGTTCCAATGTGCCTTTGAATAATGGTTTAGCTACTGTTCAGGTGTGTCTAGCCCTAATTTATTGTTTGGATTTCCAGCACTTTACTTACAGCTCCAAAGTTTGCACAAGCCTTTGCCCTGCCGTCTCAAATCTGAACATGCCCACTTTTCCCAGCTACTGGTTGTTGATGTCGGTTGATGTATGTTTATGTTTTTATTGTTTTGGTTTTAATTGTTTAAATCATATTGTTATTGTTTTTAATTATGTTACCTTGTAACTCTTGTCTATGCTGGGCTTGGTCCCCATATAAGCTGAACCAAATCCCTTTAGGGAGATGGTGGCAGGATGTAAGAATAAAGTTGTTTTTGTGGTTATTATTATTCAAAGCATGGCAAGGTCCTCCAAACAGAGGCAAAGGCTCAGAACCCGATCCTGCACTCTAAATGGGCTACGGAACAAGCCTCCTAGCCAAGGCCCCATCTACATTGGCCACTGTATGCAGTTCAATGCTAGCTTCAAACTGTGGGGGCCCTGACCACAAACACCGACAAAGGCATGTGAAAGAAACCCCTTAATGTGCATCAGTGGCCTGTGCTTTGTGCAATCCCCATCTGATTCACCACCTGTTTCCGGGTTTTTCTATGGAGCAGTGGTTCCCAAACTTTTTTTTTTACCAGAGACCTACTGAACAGGCACCACTCTCCAAAACTGATAACAAAAGGGTTACAAATAAGTTTTTAGTCAACTTTAGATTCGGTTTGGTTATCTGGGGTGCTGATTCAAAGAATTGGACTGGATAGACCGTATCAGCTCTAGTTCCTGATACAGAATATATGCCATCCAATATATAGAATATATGCCATCCATCTGCTCGCCCACAGAAAACTATATTTAATATGCCTTGGCACTATAAGAGGGTTTCTAGAGACCAGCTGCTCTCGTTGCGATGGTGTAGTAACAATGAGGCGCAGATTGTATTTTAGTTCTTGCAGACCACTGGTGGGCCATAGGTTGGGAACCACTGATATGGAGTCATCTGCCTGCAGAAACCATTTTATTGTGTGAATTTGCTTTGTTGTTTTACTTTGTTATTGTAATTTTATTTTCTGGTGCATTTTGTTTCTTGTATTCTGTATTTTATTGTCTTGTATTGTATTTTAAAGGGATTGGCCTCATTTAACTGCCTCAGGCCCCATTGGGGAAATTGTGGGGGTATAAACAAAGATTTCCTCTCTTGTAGTTTGACGCGGAACAATGGCTTCAAACTACAAGAGAGGAGATTCCATCTGAACATGAGGAGGAACTTCCTGACTGTGAGAGCCGTTCAGCAGTGGAACTCTCTGCCCCGGAGCATGGTGGTGGCTCCTTCTTTGGAAGCTTTTAAACAGAGGCTGGATGGCCATCTGTCAGGGGTGATTTGAATGCAGTATTCCTGCTTCTTGGCAGGGGGTTGGACCCATGAGGTCTCTTCCAACTCTGTGATTCTATGATTTATTATTATTATTATTATTATTTTCTTCCATGCTGGTTTGAAACTGCCTGTGTAGATAGATCTCCAATACCCACAGATGGAACCAGACATGGCTTGTTGAATAAATAAAAAGTAAAACAATAAATAAGCTAGAATAAAGTTTTAAAAAGGCATGTGGTACACAGTTTTCGTCAACTTGCGGTGCAGACGGTGGAAAAGTTAAGGTTTCTTTCCTAGTATTTACCTTCCACGCGGATTGGAGTGAACTTTGACTGTTTCAGATGCACTGGCGAGTCCTGGCCTCGGAGAACCTGGAAGGGAGCAAAAGCGACGTGTGGAGAAAGCGGAAAGGGAGGGAAAAAGGGCCAGAAATTGAAGGAGGGAAGCGGGGGGAGATCTGGGAGGGAAGGGGGCCACACTCGCCCTCCCTCGGCAGCAAATGCAAGGCAGAGAGAGAGAGAGAGAGCGCGCGCGCGTGCAGGGCCCCCGTTGAGGGCCCAACCGAGGCTGGCGCGACGGAGAAACAAAGGCCCAGCCGCGCTCCCCACTGCCGCTGCTTCTCCGGCGGACTCCCTCCCTCTTCCTCCCCCTCCCTCTGCCCTCCCGACACGAGGCCAGGCCACTCACCGGCGCTTCTGGCGTGTAACTGAACCCGTAACAGCCTCCACCCGCCTCACTTGCTACGGTCCGCCAGAGAAAATGGCGGCGCTGCTTCCCTTAGGAGGAGCGGCAGGGAGAGCGGCTGCGCATGCGCAGTCCGTTCGCCCCTCAACCCCCTTCCCGCACTCCAACCCCCAGAAGGCAGTGCGGCGGAATGTGCGTCTCAAGCCCCTTGGAGAGAGGAGGCTGCCTTCATGGGAGTTGTAGGCGAAAGGTGCCTCCGCTGGCTGGGCAGAGGAGGGGGGAGGAGAAGAAAGGCAGGATGGGATATGTTGTGGTTGGGGGTGTTAGGCGAGCAAGGCAGGAGAGGAGGTGCTCCCAATACATGAGAATGGGATGCAAAGGTTAGCCAAAGGCTAGGGCGAATGCATTCACAAATATTTCTATAGGAGAGTAATAAACAGATTTCAGATTTTAAAAAGTCCTCATTTGGGCACAATCAGATTCTGAATGTTCCAGATGGCAGAGGGGAAACTTTTTTGAATAGTTTATAATGCAAGGTTTCAAGATTTTCATCAATCCTGCAAATTTAAACACCGAAAAATAATTTGAATGAAATGTTTAAGGCTTGTTCAGTTTAACTGCCTGTTCTACTTGTAATTAAATGTAATTAGATCTCTCTTCTTTCAATGTCACCACTCCCATATAATTTCCAAGAGAGAGACTTAATTAAAACAATACCAAGATAGCTAAATAAGCAGGGTTTTTCAGTCAGGTGGATCTATGGCAGGCCTGGGCAAAATTTGGTCCTCCAGGGATTTTGGACTTCAACTCCCACAATTCCTAACAGCCTCAGGTCCCTTTCTTTCCTCCCTCAGCTGCTTAAGCGACCTGCTTCTGGCTTGTCCTTGTCTTGCCTTCCAGTCCAACACTATTCCTTTTCTTGGGTTGTACTTTGGCCACATCATGAGGAGACAGCAAAGCCTAGAGAAGACAATTATGCTGGGGAAAGTAGAAGGTAAAAGGAAGAGGGGCCGACCAAGGGCAAGATGGATGGATGGCATCCTTGAAGTGACTGGACTGACCTTGAAGGAGCTGGGGGTGGTGACGGCCGACAGGGAGCTCTGGCATGGGCTGGTCCATGAGGTCACGAAGTGTCGGAGACGACTGAACGAATGAACGACGAAGACCCATATAGCTCAAACCACAAACCCTGCTAATCCAGCTAATGTAACAGTTTTCAAACCACAACTTTATTTTTGCAACACATCTATCAACAAGTCTATGTATTTTTTGTTTGGATTCTTTAAAATGTTGATATTCCATAAGAGAGGAGACTTCAGTCTCTGTTGCTATTCAACCAGTAAGGTTTTAACATTGAACATGGACTCCCAAAGCGATGCAGAATCATAGAATAATAGAGTTGGAAGGGACCACATGGGCCATCTAGTCCAACCCCCTGCCATGCCGGAAAAGCACAAAGTATCCCTGATAGATGGCTATCCAGCCTCTGTTTAAAAGCTTCCAAGGAAGGAGCTTAGCATAGCTGATAAATCATCAGCAATTATAAGATCTATCAACCAAAAGGTTGCAAGTTCAAAGCCCCGGTTGGCGTGAGCTACTAACTGTCAGCCTAGCTCATTGTTTACCTAAGCAATTCGAAAACAGCTTTAGCTGTGATTAGAGAAATTAGGTACCGCTAAAAGTGGGGGAGGTGTTTTACGACACCATAAAGAAAGAACATCAGAAAATGCTGGGCGACTAAAATGAAGGAGGAAGTCCTGACGGCTCTTCATCATAGAGGATAGAGCAACATCACCCCCTGGACTCGAGCCCAACCTTCCATGGCACCAAAAACAGCTGGACACTGAGTTGAAACAAACTACCTCCTTCTGTTCTGTGTATTGTCTATACAAAGCGGCATCGAATGTTTGCCGTGTATGTATACTGTGATCCGTCCTGAGTCCCCTTTGGGGTTAGAAGGGCAGAATATAAATAAAGTGATGTTGTTGTTGTTATTCCACCACATTCTGAGGCAGAGAGTTCCACTGTTGAACAGCTCATACAGCCAGGAAGTTTTTCCTAATGTTCAGGTGGAATCTCCTCTCCTGTAACTTACCTGTGGGCAGGCCCGTAGCCAGGATTTTGATTCGGGGGGGGGGGGGGGGGCTGAAAAAATTTCAGAGGGGGTTTCGGGGGGGGCTGAGTTTCAGGGGGGCTGAGTCTGAGTGAAAGAGGGTCTACCCTAGCAAACCTTTTGCATTACCCCAATACCCCCATGCATATGGGATATATTGAGTATGGTGATCAGATCATGATATGAATAAACATAACAGTTTAAATAATGCACCAGTAAGGCCTTTTCGCGAACTACCATGAGAATTTCAGGGGGGGGGCTGAAGCCCCTCAAGCCCCCCCCCCCCCCCCCCGGCTACATGCCTGCCTGTGGGGCCAGCCAACAACGGAGGCCTCTCTGAATTATGTTTCAGGAGTTGAAAGGGGGGGGGGCATCCCGCTCCTCCCGGCTTTTGAGAGCCCGAAGAAGCAGGATAGCTGTGGGGGCTGGCCCCAAAGGGCCCTTACTTGTAAAGATCCAGACCTTCGCTTATGGTCCAGATTTTTACAGGTTTTTTAAAAACTGGATTAAACCGAGTAAATTCGCTTTAATCCAGTTTGAAATGGATTAGTCTGAAATGTCATCTGGATGTCTCAGTCAAATCTGTTTTTAGCCCGAGTTTTTGGGCTGTGTAGAAGGGCCCTGAGTAGCTCTGTTTTGAACTGAATTGAATTGTGGGACAAAAGGTGACATTCTGTTGAGCAGGTGTGGAAAATTGTTAACTCCCTAGATGTTTTCTGGGAGCTCCTGGGATCGTTCATTGTTGTTTATGTTCCTTAGGACTAATGGGAGCTGCACTCCAGTAATGTCTGGACAATCACAGATGCCTCTGTTGAAGCTTTATCACCAATTCTTGTTTCCACAACAAGCCAAATTTGTCAAAATCCCATTCTTACAGGGATAGAAAGTGAGGTGAAATCTTCTGAACAGGGGCACAGACAGTAAAATACTACAGGAATGTTAACCCTTCCTCGTGTTATCCAAAGCTTGAATATATATATATATATATATATACATATACATATACATATACATACACACACACACACACACACACACATACACTTACATACATACATACATATGGTTACACTTAAAAATTTACCTCTTTTGACTTACATGCAAATTCAACTTAAGAACAAACATTTATACCTTATGTTGTTCACAAAAATTGGAGACTGCCTGTATTTGTACTATTCCAGGTTAATTAATTCCTAATATCCCCGTGTGTAAACTTTACAGAAGTTAAGGTCACTTTTTTCATTTAATTATGGGTTTTCAGACAATTAAATAAATTGAGACCTCTGGCCCTATTCTGCCAAGAGATCTTTGCAATGTAGATTCCCAGAGGAATTGCTAAATCCTGACTATTGTCTTTTTCTGAAATTGCATAGAAATGTATTATTCAAAATGGCATTTGATGGTGATATGCTAGATATGCAAGATTTATTCATTTAGTGTTACCTTATCCTAGCTTTTTGGTTGTGAGTCATTCTGTAATCAATTATATGTCTAAACTGAGTGGGAGTATCAAAATGATGGGGAATATTTAGAAACAAAATAAAGTAGCAGCACTGAAGAATGTCCTTGCACAAGACCTTGGTGAGTTAGAAGGATCAATGGTTGAAACACAGAATAAAGTGACTTCATATGTTCCATTGATTGATAATGGGTGCATTGCTTCCAATTTAATTAATGCTTTTGGTTGTTCATTGTTGACGGAGCCATCTGGCAAAGACAAAAGGAGCAGCATCAGTTTGATATTTGATCTGGATTAAGCAGGATGCATTTGGATTATGCATTTGATCTGAATAAAACTACTAGTTAAATTTAGAAACATGATGTTGTTGTCTAATGACTTATATTAGTTAATAGAGCTGGCATAGAAAATTCTAAAAAAGTCCATATCACTTCAATTTGTGTATAGAATTCAGAATTAAAGGCTTATTTTGCACTTTGTTTTCAATTTAATGCTTTAGAATAATTCTCAAAGCAAGACTTTCCAAATATGTATGGTTGCTGCATGCACCAATGCTCCAAGAGATAAGCTATATGAGTGAATAAGGCCAACTGTATAGCTTTTCCCAAGCAACTGGAAACTTCAGAATAAAATTGATGAAGTTACTTTTGTGCCAGATTGCCAATAGTGTAATAGTGCCCCATAAAGCAGCAGTTAACAGTCAACTTGATCCATGTGATTCCTGGTATAGGATTTATTGGACTAATACTGCCTTTATAGGATTGTAATACTACCCTTATAGGATTATATGCTTTCCTTGTTGCTATGTAGCAGCTGGGAGCGGAATGTTACATGGTTTGGTGGATAGTTGTAAAACAAGTGCTGTACCAATCTTTATAAGACAGGCGTGGGAAAGTAGCCATTCACTACTACAGTGTAATGAAATCAGTGCTGAGGAAGGGAGAGCCAATCCTATTGCTTTATACAGATGATTCCCCCTAGCCAGGTCCTTCTTCAATTACTTATTTTTCTAGAGCTTATTCTTTGACAGCCTGCAATCTGAACTTTCACTAGAAGCCAGAATTACTAAACCCAGACTCTTGTATTTTGGCCATATCATGAGATTTGACTCATTGGAAAAGGTGATAATACTGAGAAATGTTGACTGGAAAGCTCTCAGGGAGGATATCCACTCATTTGAAAGGTGTTGGAGAAAAGCTTTGCAGATATGACCTATCTCTGTAGTGAATGGGCCTACAGTAAATCAAGCCTGAACTTCCACTGGATGCCAAGATGGCTAAACCAAAGCTGTTCTTCAATAAAATTATATGACTAATTGAAAGTCAAGCCTGAAATTTTGAAAGCAGTAGAAAAACAGGAAGACTATGTGACAGGTGAATAGGCTCAATTAAGGAAATAACGACACTGAGTTTGCAAGACCTAAACAGAGTGATTAATAATAGGCTCTCTTGGATGTCTCTCATTCACAGGATCACTGTAAGTCAAATCACTTTCAGGACAGAGTATATCTTTGGCACGCATGAAGTCAACTGCAAAGAGTAGCTGCCATGTATTTCAGT